TACAGATTTCCATTTATGTGAATTTGGCAACTTGAGCACAACCACTTATGGATATTGAGTCCAAACACACTTTAAAAAAACAATATATCCAGTATGTTCAAGTGCCAAGCAGTCACATGTTTGCCAGTAATACCAGTATTCTGACATCGACCATCTAATCTATGTATTCGCTATCTAGGGTACTCGATATACAAAGAACATAAAACAATTTCTGAATTATCTTTATGAATCATGTGTCAGCCCTTAAGGAGGAAATCACCTGAAATTGTAGTGACTATATGATTCAGAGCATAACTGAGACCTAAAATTACCATATCTCTGAGGATTTAAGAGCATGACAGAATCATACAGAACTATACATTCAAATAAGTATTTAAAAAAAAACCAAAAATGCAACAGATAAATTCAACCTAAAAAATATCATGTGTGAATAATCAGGTAAACAACCTGTGGATCATAGAGAATCCTCAACATCTAACAATAGAACTGCCTATATGAATCACCAACATACATTTGTTTATTTAATGTACTCCTTGATGATTATAGCATATTGGTCGAAAAGTTATTGCTTCACGAAAAGTAGAACCACGTAGTAGACCATGGGAAATGACACCCAAAAGAAAAACTGCCTACCAAAAACTTACTTGCATAGTGGTCACTGATGTCATCACACCGTTGGAATCAGGCCGGCTTAGAACACTTGAATCCTGATAAAATCTATGCACCAGGCCTGGGTTATTGTGAAGAATATGGTAATACTGCTCAATGAAAGCATTTCCAACAAGTTGGGCACTGGGAGTCGGTGGAGGAATTGCTGTCTGCAAGGCCATTCTGCCAAAAGACTGAGAAATGAAACACTACTAAACAATTCCTCAATATCTCTTTAAACCAATAAATGGAAGATAATTAATTCAAAACACCAAGGTGCAGTGAGTTAGCAATATAGCACTAGGCACATATAATGTATTTGACTTTACAAAATCGAAGGCACAAAGAACCCATGCTTAAAACTAGCCCTTCATCCCTAGATCAGGGAAAGAATTATCCCAAAAGTAAAGTAACAACTGCAAAAGAGACAGTAGGAAACTAGCACCACAAAACTATGTACCAATTTCGATTACATTGCATGGAAACAGAACATGGAGGAGTTAGCGATATGAAATACTGCTACATTTTCTTCTAAAGAAAACCTCAGAGACAAGGGAGAAAGAGAGCTGGTTAAATGAAACAACCACATTTTGAGAAAAACCCTAGAAGCACAATAAATTAAAATGATATTCCATAAAACTGAGAAACACATAATCTGCTTTAGTGAGTACTGAATATTTAGGTAAATCCAAAAAAGTTGGCACAATAACTTGCAAAAGCTTAGATCCTCGAAGCAACAGCACCACATTATTTGGATTCAAACCAAGCAAAGCTCAAGACCTGAACCATAAACCAACCTCATACCACAAAATAAACAAAACCCATCTCAGAAAATTAGATAGAATGATAAATCAATACATAATCAGCCCAACATTCAGAGACGGCGAGCTTAAAGTTACAAAATTCATTAAATTAGTTCTACGACCTGTATAATGCTTGATCACACAAACAAAAGTAAACATTTGAACACTAATAAATAAGAAAAAAATAGCTTTCAAAAGACAGACCAAAATACAACCTAAAAAAATCAACAATAAGGGTGCTAAAGAACCCATTAAATGAATAGTACATGGAAAAATCAAAGAAATGAATGCCAAAAAAGTACCCTTTATGAAATGCTATAGCTTTGCTAGAGACAGAGATTGGGAACGATGAGATGGTAGGGTACCTTGTGCTTCACCAAAGAAGAGTGAGTGAGACTGTGAGAGCGAGAGAGAGGGAAAGACGAACAGTTAGCGCACGAAATAAAGAAGCGTCTGAGAAAGAAAGCTAACAGCGAACTCTGATGCAATTCACACCAAGAGGTACACGGATTGGGTCAAGTAACCTTTTTTTACACCTAGTCAAGTTTTTCTTCTTTTCTCTTTTAGGGTTTTTGGTCAAATTTTAAATGGTTTTTTTTGCTTTTTTGTTTTACAAAAATTGAATTTTGGATGTTTTGTTGAGCTAGTGGTTTTTATTATTTTACAAAAAAAACAATATTCTACTTTAATTTAATTTAAACGAAGGAGGATTCGAACTTGGAGTACATAGTAGGGAGTACATCCGCTCTAGTCAATGTCTGCTTGTTGAGCTAGTGGTTCACCATTTGTAATTCTAAAATTAATATTACAAACATATATAAAGGTTGTTGCAAATTATCTACACTTTCAAATTTGATTTAATATCGTTATTGTCAATCTGAAACAGTCATCACGCACCATTCTAAATGTAATTTGCTTCTTATATTTTTACAGAAGAGGAGTACTAAATAACCCTTTAGAGAACCAATAACAAATATAAACATCCAATATATTTTACATTATTATTTGATGTGCAAGTCTATTGAACGGCATGAAAAGTCATGTAGACAAATATACTATTGGAGAAAATAAAAGTTTGGTGCTTTTAGTTATAATAAGAATAGGGCTCCTATACTAATAAGGTCTTTAGGTTCAAGTTAATTTAGGTGATTGACCAATCATGTGTTGTGGGACATGTTTATATCATTAAAATCCCAGGCTTTGTTATGTTTGGTGACCAACCAAAATCACGTGTAATGCTGACAAAAGATATCTTCATAAAAATAACAATAAGCTCCAGAGATTTGGTAACAATGTGTAAATCAGTCGATGTGAAATATATCAAGCCCCATTACTTGGATCTTTTGTCTGCAGCATGGGAGGCCGCAGGTTTTCTCTGCAGATGTAAGCACGAGACTTCATGATAATGGTTGAATATTTCAGATCAAGAACACTGATCCAATGTAATGCTTCTGTGGAGCTCAGTGCAATGGCTTCCCCTATCTATTTTCATCATAAATTAAAATTATGGAGCTTTAATTCAGACTTCAGTCACAAATAACCTTTGCAGCTCCTAGCAAATTTTTTTATGATAAAATGGAATATATGAAATACTTAAATGAACATGAGCTGTGATTCATGACATTCATACAGAATCTGTAATTTCAACTGCAAAAAGAAAAATAAAGATGCATCATAAACACAGAGAAAAAAGAAAGGTACTTTTGTTGAAACCAACTGTTGCAGAATACTAAAGATGGCTTCAAAGGTCTTCAAGACCTCTAGCAAATAGGGAAGCAAAAGCCTCCATATAATGTTTTTTCAAAACCAGCCCAACCTCAACACCACCAGCACCATTCTTGCTATCTGAAAAGGAGATAGCCCCTGTCCTGTCTATCGAAACGATGTCGATCTTCGTTGGTCTTCCCCATCCAAAATCAGTTGCCTCATAAATCCCAAAAGTATGTGACCCAGCAATGGAATGAACTCTATCTGTAGTCTGCAGTGCATTGAGCATTCTTGAAACCCAAGTCTCTGCCCCATCCAAAAAGGTCTTGTCCAAACATTTTATAGACTCACTAATTGCATTTAAGGCCACAAACAACCCATCTTCTCCCAATAGGCCCTTTGTTTCTGCAACTACTCCACGGCCTGCGATGCAATTCCCAAAATAGGTTGCAGGCAGAGAAGGGTCTAAGCGAGACCTGCAGTCTGCGCTAAAGACCAAAAGTATTTTCTCCGCTTTTATTTCCTCTGCCTTGACTAAGCAAACCCATGTATAAGCACATGTTAGAGAAAACGTTGACAAATGAAGCACTGAATGATCTTGTTGTTTCTTCTTTGCCATCATAGTCATCACTGATTGTCTTAATGCTTCTATTTTTGCTCGTGTGAATTCAAACGTACCTCGAATAAAGTCTAGTGGAAATTCTTTAACCCCCAAAGACATCAAGCTTGTATTATTGGGCCCTCCTGCATTTAACCATTCCTTCAAGTAGATTGCTTCAATGCCGGCAGGGTCCTTGACGGCCCTCCTGTCATAACATGGTTTTGGTGGCTCTGGAAACAAAGATGAGGACAGTCCTCCATGTTTGCACAGGTGAGCCCATAGTTTCAAAAAAGATGTTGAGGTTTTGCCATCAAGGGCAGCATGGTGCACGGCTGATCCAACGGAAAAACCACAGTTGGGGAAAATTGTGATTTGCAATGCCATCACTGCGGCTTGGTCATGAGACACTGCCAATTGGGGTATAAGAGGATGGTATTCTTTGGCTTCAATATTGAAGTTGTTGGTTGAAACTAGATGGTAGAAATCAGCATCAGATTCAGCTATTGTAAGCGAAAGGGTGTCACCTTTGACATAACTGAGAAAGGGTTTTTGGGAGTCTTGGGGCCAAGTGAGGTTTCCTGCAAGAGGCAGAAAGTGCTGGAGGGTGAGAGAGAGTGAGGCTTTGAGTTTTGGAAGTATGGAATCGAAGAAGAGGGGTGTGTTGAATGAAGATATTTCGTAGAAGAAAAAGCGTTGGATGGGAGGAAACGTTAGCCAGAGAAGGTCAAAGAAAGTTAGAGGAAGAGACTGATCATCTGGGGAGGATGAGTCTGGTGAGCTTGGTTTGGGAGCTACCCAGCAAACCTCAACTACTTTGATTGAGCTTGGTTGTGCCATTGGGGATAGAAAGAAGCTTTGATATTCTAAGTTCACACCCTTAGAATATATATTTGGTGCCCCAACCGAAGCACTCAACAGCCTGGCACACTAGGATGACACCCACATAAAAGCAATTAAATTATCGAAGTCAACACATATGAATATTAGTATCAAGCATTAAGAAATCATTGATCCAAACAACTCATAGAATTGTTCAAAATGTGGATTGTGGAACAATCCTGTCCTACTTTATTGATCCAAACAATCATTTAGTTCATGGTTGAAAAATGAGTTGTGATCCAAATCAATGTGTAAATGGAATATAGTAACTATATACTTGAAAATGAGTTGTGATTCAAATCTTAGAGCAGAAAAACTCCATGCAATTTATACACCAGTTTGTCCCAAACAAAATATACAGAGATATATAAGCATACTAAACCAAAATACAGAGCAGCCTGCTTCAAACAGCAACATCTTAACAAGATTAATAATTGAGAGCACAAGAGTTGCCCCAATGACCAATGAACTCACAATTATTCCCCAAAAGATAAAGTGAAATATAAATTTCTACTGAAACCAGCTATAGTAGTAGTGTATATGAGGCTAAGGGGATTGAAAATCAAAGGTTTTCAAGACCTTTAGGAAATAGAGAAGCAAAAACCTCCATGTGATGTTTCTTCAGAACCAAGCCAATGTCAACAGCTCCACCTCCATTCTTGCCATCTGAAAAAGTGATGGCTATGGCTCCTCTTCTACCTATAGGAACCACTTCGGTACTCTTTGGTCTTCCCCACCCGAAATCAGTATCGTACATCTTAAACTGATGTGATCCAGCGGTGGTGAACACTCTGGAATGGTCAGTAGTAGCCTGAAGATCAGATTCAGAAAGGTACAAACTTGAAACTAAGTTCTCTGCCCCATTCAAGACCCCGTTATCCAAACCTTTTATGGCTTCACTGATCGCATTTACAGCCACAAAGAACCCATCTTCTCCCAAAAGTCCTTTTCTTTCTGCAAATGCTCCATGGCCCGTTATGCAGTTGCCAAAATAAGTTGCAGGTATAGGAAGGTCCAAGCGAGACCGACAGTCCACGCTAAGTACCGTAAGTATTTGGTCGTCTTTTATTTCTTCTTCTTCTTCTTCTTGTTCTGCTTTGACTAAGCAAACCCATGTGTAGGCACATGTTAGACAAAACGTTGACAAATATAGAACAGATAGATGATATTGTTGTTGTTTCTTGATCATGACAGATTGCCTTAGTGCTTCAATTTTTGTGCTTGTGAATTCGAAAGTGCCTCGAATCGAATCCGGTAGCGCTACAGATTTATAGCGGGTGGCAACCATCAAGCTTCGGTTGTTGGCTCGTTGGTCCATATTCAGAAACTGGTTCAAGTAGATTGCTTCGAGCTCGAGCCCAGCTGGGTCCTGGATGAAGACCCTTCTGTCATAAAATGGTTTCAGCTGATCAGGCAACAAAGTATCAGGTTCATGTTTGCATAAGTGGGCCCATGATTTCAGAAACATGAACAAAGTTTTGCCATCAAGAGCTGCATGGTGCATGGAAATTCCAATGGAGAAGCCGCTGCTGTTGGGAAAGAGAGTGATTTGAAAAGCCAACACAGCAGCTTTTTCATGAGATATTGCCAATTGGGGTACAAGAGGATGGTATTCTTTGGCTTCAATGTTGAAGTCGTTGCTTGAAAGACGGTGGAAATCAGCATCAGACTGGGCTGTGGTGAGCGAAACGGCGTCGCCTTGGACATAACTGAGAACGGGTTTGTGGGAGTCTTGGGGCCAAGTGATGTTTCCTGCCAGAGGTAGAAAGTGTTGGAGGGTGACAGAAAGTGAGGCTTTGAGTTTTTGAAAGAGTAGAGAATTAAAGAAGGGTTTTGTGTCAGCTGAGGCAGAGGAAGCCAATATTTCATAGAAGAAAAGGCGGTGGAAGTGTGGAAACCTTAGCCATAGGAGGTCGAAGAAAGTTAGGGGAAGAGAAAACTCTGCAACATCTGGTTGTGGTTGTGGAGCTACCCTGCAGAGCTCAACTAGTTTCACTGAGGTTGAGCTTAGCTCTGCCATTGGACTATTGGAGTTAGAAATTATGGACCATATCTAATTCACAGAAAAGCCAAGGGTTGGGCGGACCCACAGTGCGGACCCCTTAGAAGCCGGAAAAAGTGGCTGGGAAGGTGCTCCGGCGACCCCTTGGAAGCTTGGTGGGCGACCCCAATATGCCCACCAAGTGTTCGACGAAACATCGTGCGCAGCTTCACCCTTCACCACTGCTGCCCTTTTCTTTGAAAAACGCATGGGCATTGGGCATCAAGTTAGGGATACGCTCTGTTGTTTAAAAAAGCAACTTGCCTTAGAAATAACCGGACAATTTTTATTTTTTTTTGGCTTTTGGTAGAAAATAATTATACATGATTCATTTAATGCTTCTTCCTTTTCACATTGAGATTAGAAATAATAATATAAATTCAAGATAAAAATTTAGAAATCACTATAAGTGGGAAAAGTGCAATTGATTTTATTGCTTGCATGACTTTTTTTTTTTTTTTTTTTTGGTGAACACATTCATTGCATTTCGCATGTCCTGAAGGCAGGTTCAATATTTCTTTTGACCATGGCCATTTCAAAGTCCTTTAAAATCAACAATAGTCGCTAACTTGCCGTGGACAACTTGTAATGTTGTTTTATTTTTTAATATTGTTTTCATCTAAAAAAAATTCAGGAACGTTTACACCACGACCACTTGAAGTAACAATCCTAGATATCCCGGTTGTTGTCTTCTTGAGTGATCTATAAACTTTGTCATTTGGGGTGGGGCTAAATGCAATCTAGCAACTCCTAGTTGTCGTCATTCATGATCACCTTGGCAATATTATTCAATTTAAAAGAACTACTTCGTCAAGAATGCCCATTTATAAGAACTAATTACTCATCTCAATCATCCCATAATTTTCCTTTTGTTAGTCATCTTGTCTAACTCCTTGTCTCTAGTCCTGCATCACCCAATAAAAACCTTGTGCAATGTGGGATCCCTGGGATCTGGTACCTATGAAGAGTTAGACTCAACTACACAAAAGATCATTTCCATTACTCTCTTTTCCACAATTACTTTCTCAACCTAAGAAATCCAACCATCATCGGTAACATATGAACAAGTCAACATTTAATCGACTAATATAATGATAATTAACAACATGTAAGCACCCAATAGAAACCATTATTTAATATCAAGAACGTCCATCAAATTATAATATCAAGCATAATATAGTGCTTACGAAATTTAATTAAATCAATCTCCGTAAAGGCTCCCCAAGAAATCCCTACCTTGAATCTCAACATAGCTCCAAGTTAATAAAATACTAGACAAACTCCAAGAATTTCATCACTACTCTTTTTCTATTTTCTCTTCCCCTCTCTCTTATATTTCTTTTTCTTTTCTCTCTTTTTATTCTTCTTATTTCTTCTAATGAGTAGTAATAACGACACACTATTTCTCTAGTAGGTACAAAACTGTTCTAATGTATGGCAAGATAACTACATATACACATCTATTGAGGGATCTATCAAATAATTTATTTGAGGGACACCCTTTAGGGTACCTTACAATTTTTTTTTCAATGATCCAAACCATCTATTTTTCACATCTTCAGTCAGAGATTATCCTTGCGAAAAATCATGCAAATTGAAAATAATTAAGGCATCTAATTGAGACTGACAAAATCAATGAACACGGTGCTTCAAGAAAGTACTTAAATTTCAATAATGTAATTGAGTGATCAAATGATATTGGATTGAAGTGATTTTTTGTAGGGATGATCTTTGAATGAATATCTACACAATAGACGGTTTGGATTAATGAAATATTATTTGAGGGATCTCTCAATAAAAACTCCCTGTACATATATAATCAATTAAATATAATTTAAATTATAAACTAAATAGATAACAAAACATTTGATTTCCCAAAAATAAAAATAAATAAATAAATAAATAAATAAGAGGGGTAATACAAAATAAAAATAGATAACACTTATGCGGATCCCATTGTAAACAGGCAGGAAAACAGAGAGGGGTAATACAAAATACACGGCGTCCGCACGATAATAACATCCGGATGTCCGCATAAGAGAATTTCTAATATATATATATATATATATATAAAATACGGGATTTCACATATATATTTCAACTTTGGTTGAATACTATAAATTAACAATAGTGCTTTGGAAGAGAAGGAAAGTAAAGTAAGCACATTGTTTTTGACTTGATATAATACATAGGAAAAGCAACAAATACTAGAGACAGTACATAGGAAAAGAAATAGAGATAGCTACCTGGTCCAAAGAACGGGCTTGTCCAATATATGTCTCTATATTTTTTGTTTCCTAGACATATACACATTACTCTATAAATTTATGTGTAAAACTCAATTTCAAATTTAAATGACCAGTAGGATATAAGAGGTCATAGTATTTCTATGTTTTTACATCGTTGCCACCAGACTTCATATTTTATTTATAATTTATTTCAAGCATTTCATTAATTGCCATAATTGTAATTAATACTCCATATTAATAGCATATCAATCACCCCATTTCTTTTGGTTGCCATTTCCTCTAACATATCGCCCCTAAAATTGCAAACGAAAAATAATAATTTGTAAATTACATATCCAATAATGTACCTATATGAAAAATATAAATATAAATATATATGTATAAAAATATAGGTATATTATTTAAATAAAATATAGGTACATTGTTTACCAAAAAAATTTACAGAAAAATAGGTACAAAATAATTTATAGAAAATATAGATACACAATAATTTATAAAAAATAATAGGTAGATTATTATAGAAAAATAGGTATACAATAATTTATAAAAATATAAATACAAAATAATTTATAATAAAAAAATAATAGGTAGATTATTATTTTGAGCATCTCCAAGGGATGAAGCAAATGAATAGGCAAATTTTATTTGCTTAGCCACATCAGCATTTTTATGCTCCAAACAAATAGGTAAATGGGTAAGCAAAATGTACATACTCCCTCCTCTCCACTCT